TACCTCTTGTGATGGCAGCAGTTGTCGCCGTCTCACCACACAGGCGCACATCATATCTGGTAGATCTAAGGTTCTAAGATGCCTCATAAACCAAGCCACGATTGCATCAGGCTCTCCCCGTCGTCGTAGGGATTCAAACAAGCGATGATGACACACGAAGTAGTACGCCTTCGGGATGTCGGCCGAGCCACACATAAAGCCCCTTCCAACTTGCATGCTAGCATGATAATGAAGATCATGCCCATGGCACCGTGCCCTTCTCGATAAGCGAACTGCCAAGGGGTTTACCAACAATTTTATCCTCCAATCATTTTCGGAAGCACCGACATACCAGCAAGTGGGCGAAGAAGGTTGAACCACGAAACAAGCGGCTCCTTCGGAACAAGCGCCAAGTAAGAAAGAGTACGTTGTGTAGCCATGCTTGGCGGCGCAGCATGTAGAGGTCGATCAATGAGACACTTTTTTTTACGTTGGACCTCGTACGAATAATCAGGAGGAGGACGAGAGGGAGGAGGAGGCAGAGGAGGAGGAGCAGGGGGAGGTGGAGGGGAAGGCAAGAGGAAGGAGGAGGCCTTAGGAGGAGGCAGGAGAAGAGGAAGCATCAGGAGGAGGCAGGAGGCAGGAGGAGGAGGAGGGGGAGGAGGAGGCGGAGGAGGAGGGGGACGAGGAGGATAGAAGGAAGAGGCGGAGGGGAGGAGGAGGAGGAGGAGGCGGAGGAGGCGAGGAGGAGGAGGAGGAGGAGGAGGAGGAGGGAGGAGGAGGAGGAGGAGTAGGAGGAGGAGGAGGAGGAGGAGGAGGAGGAGGAGGAGGAGGAGGAGGGGAGGAGGAGGGAGGAGGAGGGAGGAGGAGGGAGGAGGAGGAGGAGGAGGAGGAGGAGGAGGAGGAGGAGGAGGAGGAGGAGGAGGAGGAGGAGGAGCAAGCGTGAGAAGGAGGAGGCCAGAGGAAGTAGGAGGGGGCAGGAGGAGATCTCCAGGCAAGCTCAAACTAATCCCATGTGGGTTCCGACAGTCGCGGTAGTTTTGTTTGTTTTGTCTCTGGACGCCTCCCTGAAGGCTCCCAGGGGTCTCATTTGGGGACCTCCAGGGACCTCCAGGACGTCTGGGGGTCGTGGCGCATGCGATTAGACCCTCAGATCTGGCGCCACGAGGAGCTCGCGGCGGCCAGCTTGCTCCTCGACTCGGGTCTCTGACGGCCGGCCGCGGGTCCTGCTGCCGTCGACGATGTCTGGCTGCCCGCGCACAGAGCGGCGACGGAGTGCCTGCGGACGCTGCGCCTCTCCCGGCCCGCTCCGCCTCAGGAGCGGCGCGTCCGCGCGGCTAGGTGGGCGGCTCATTCCGCACACAGTCTCGGTATCGTTTAGCTGATCCCTGTCCCCATCCCCATCCACATCTCGAGCCCCGCCGTCTCATCTCCCCAGTTGGGGAGATACCCTTCGAAACCTGACGGAAACTGCCTATATCTCCACCCAGGGGGGTAAACCTGCCAGTGGGGCCCAGGCCACGCGAGTGCGGATAGGGATCGGTTAAACGATGCTCACAATTTTGGCTCTCAGCAAGCGCGCGCGAGCGCAGAGAACGCTAGCGAACCTGCACTTACGCAGGGACTGCTGCCAGCGCCTATCAAAAGCCCACGTGGAAGACCTGACGCAGGCAAAGGCGGCCTCTGGGCAGGCAAGACAGACGTGGGGAACAGGAAGAGGGCAGAGTGAGGAGATCTTGGCTCTCTGTGCCGCTCCCCCAGCCACGGCGCCCCCTTCCCTCCTCGGACCCATCGCCCTCCCGCGTCGGCCAGGACTTTGTGAAGAACAGCGATCTGGGCGGTCGCAAGTACAGTATCGGCTCGGAGACGGACCAGCAGGGCAAGCTCGCGAGGTCTGAATGATCCCTGGAGGGAGGGAGCAGCGGGAGGGCAACGGGACATGGGAGGGGGGGAGACTGGAGGATGAGAACGACAGCGATGGCGATGGCGGTGAGACGGCGAGGACGAACAAGAGCCGATGGTACGATGAGGTTGCTCATGATGCTGACGCTGGCAGCGATGGCGATAACGACGATGACGACGATGGTGATGCCTCTCTGTCACAGTGCTTCTGACAAGAAGCCATGTCAGGGAGCTTGACTTGTTGTACCATCCAACACCCTGAGCCACTGGCTGCCACAGCGCTCTGACATGTGCCAATGCTGACACGAGGCTCTGGCTCTGACATGTATCATTCAGGAGGGGGAAACACACAGACACAATTGATCGTCGATTCCCAAGAACATGTGGAGAAATATGGGAATTGGGGGGGAAGACAAAAAACCAGAAAATATTGGAAGATATGGGGAATCTTTTTATTTGTGTGTATTTATTTGTGTGTCCCAGGGCCCCTTCAATCATGTCTCATGTATCAAGGGCCTGGCTCTGAAATGCGAAGGCGCGTGCTCAGCAGCTGACGATCCTGCACGGAATTGTTTCCAACACTGCAATTCTTCACACTGATGTTTTTTTCTGACTCACCAGGCTAATTCGCAAGTGGACTGGTGGCTGAGACGCTCTATCTATCACGTAACTGAGACTACAGCACCTTCTTCCAGGTGCGACCTGATTCCCAAGGGCGTCCGCTGGACTCCAGGGTTGCCGCAAAACTCTCAGCACCCGTGTAGGAGAGCTGCCTCGACAGCGTGTGTTGAGACGGGGGGCCGTCGCAGAATAAGCTCTCCTACTCTTCTTCCTCCGATTCAGTTCGCAGCAGTATTCGAGGGTGGTTTCTCTGATCTGTTTCGATTTGGGGCGCTCCATAAAAAGGGCTTCACCTGCGAGGGATCGAGGAGTTAACATCTCTTCTTCGGCGGAATGTGGCGAAAGGCTAGCAAAAGGCAGTGTAATTAAAACGGGGGCGGTTCTGCCAGCTGAAACCAGCGGAAGCAGAATCTGACCCCACAGTCCAGCTAAGAAGCATGGGATATTTGTTCTTAGTAATATGTGAGTCAACTTCGGAGGAGAGACCTGGTTGTGGCCATGCCTCTTCCTTGGGATGCTAGAGTTGTTCTACCCTGTTCTTACTGTCCTCTTCCTCTCCCTTCCCGTCCCTTTAAGAACGGTTCTTGGTTCCTCATGGTATGAGGTCCCTGCGGGTGCTGCCCTCCCCCCCTGGGGCCGCAAGCTAATCGCCTGGCGAACGTTATCGCTCGCTAGGTGGGTATGCTATTAAAGGCAGAAGTAAAGACAGCAGAGCGCGAAAAGAAATTGAGGAGAAGAGGAACACTCTGTATCTATATGTTCATATCCGTGTGTATATATATATATATGTAGATCTATAACAGCCTCGAGAGAGGTAGAGAAGAGATGGGGTGCGACGGCGGCGACGTTGCAAGGCGGCCGTGTGGTCGACGTGACTGGGGCCACGCTCGCCGGAGGTCGGGCGGCGCAGGGACTTCTCCCGTTCTCCACGGGGGATCCCAAGAGGGACGGCCCCCAGCCGCTGCCGTGGCGCCCTCACCCGCCGAGCAGGCGAAGGGCTCCCACTGGTGCGACCGGGGACCACCTGGGGAGGGGATGGCCTCCTCCTCCTCCTCCTCCTCCTCCTCCTCCTCCTGCAGCTTTGCGCCCTCCCGTGGCAGTGGCCCTGCCTACCTGCGGTGGTTCCCCCACAGCCATCCCGGGGTGGACAGAGACCCCCCACCCTGGCACGCCGATTCGTGAATGGTCCGTTTTCCGTTCTCGAGAGGGCACCGCGGCCGTCATCTGCCAGGCTTCCGCCCGCCAGGTTTGGGCCCGAGGTCGTTTTCACTAACCCACGTTTTGCTAAAGGGGGTTCTGTCGATCAGTGAACCCCATACAGCCCTCGCCAGCCCACGGTTGATATTGTCGTTGGCTGCGCAGTGGGCCAGAGCCAGGTCGAAACGAATGATGGCGGGAATGTTGCATTGGTGCGCACGCTATGTTCTGTTGGGCGGCACCGTTGTTTACAGCACTGCGGCTGCAGTGATCCCAGCGAACTCGAGGGCGGTGAGCGATTGTTGCAGGCTTCCGCGCCGTTCAACCAATATACCGTGACCAACTTGGTCGCTGCGATAGGCAAGCATGTAGCAGGCTGAGTGGCCTGGTGTGCGGCCATGGTAGAATGAGGGACCAACTGCAGGGGCATTGGGATCTGAGAGGTCGCCAGGTAAGGTGCTCTAGGCTATAGGCCGCAGGCGCCCAGGCCTTCGCCAGGGTGGCCAGCTGCTGGCAGTGTCCACCTTCCCCATCCCACCCGTCCCTCCGCCACGAGTGGCAGATGAAGGTTGGTGGGGCGGTAGCTGCTGCACATGAGGAAGCTCGGGGACTGCCTGTCGTCCCTGAGGGAGCTCTTGCGGTCGAAATGTGACGGTTGGGGTGAGGCCTGGTGCAGTAGGTGCGGCTAGGGTCACACTCGCCGAAGCGAAGGCTCAAGGGCCTCTCCCCTTAGTCAGAGGGCATCCCGATGGGACGGCCCCCAGCCACTGTCAGGGGGTCGTCACCTGCCAAGGCGGGCGATCGGTTCCCAAGACGTGACTGGGGGCCACCCTGGGATGCCCACCAGCTGAGGGGAGGTGTAAGCCTTCCTGTGGCGGCGGCCCTTGGTAGGCGCTGGTTCCCACCCCCACCGTAGATAACCCTTCACAACCCTCGGTTGATATTGTTGTTGGCTGCGTTAGTGAGCAGGAGCCGGGTTGAAACAGATGATGGTCGGAGGGCTGCACAGGCGCGCCCACGAGGTTCTGTTGGGCGGCACGGTTGTTTGCTGCTCCTCGTTGTCCTTAGCATCCCTCTCCTCCTTCGTTCTTCTCTTCCTCCGTCTCCTTGTTCCTCCTGGTCTTCCTCACTTCTCCCAGCTCCTTTCCTCCTTTTCCTCTTCCCCGCTTTCCTTCTCTTTCGCCCTCTCAGGGCCGCTGCTCTTGCTCATCCTCCTTCTGTCACTTGTCTCCTTGCTCCTCATATCTCTGTCCTGCTCCTGCTGTTACCCTTCGTCGTCGTCGTCGTCGTCGTCCCTCGCCCACCTTCTTTTTCGCGTCCTTCTCCTTGTCGCCTTCCCCCAGGTCCTTCAGCGACAAGTCAGTGAAACTGCAGGGAGGCGAGTTCCAGCCCGGCACCGAGGCGGCCAACCGCTCTTCGGCCTCTTCCCCTCCAGAAGACATTGGACCGTCTCGCGTTCATTGCCGCAGTTATTATCGCTGCAGAAGATCTGGGGTCAAGCGCTGGGACCCCCAGAAGGTGCCGAGAGCTCGGGGCCACGCACTGGGAACATCTCGGCGTCGGAGGTCTGGGCTTCGTCTAGCTTCCTTTCTCCGCCGCCCTTTTAGACCTCCGACGTCGTCGTCGTCGTCGTCATCTTGCCTCTCCTTCTCTCTCTCACGACGTGGGTCTCGTGGATGGGCCACGCGGTCCGCATTGCCCAGACGGGTTCTCGGCCGAGGGGCAGACCAGGGAGGAGGAGGACGAGGAGGAGGAGGAAGAGGAGAAGGAGGAGGATGAAGAACAGTATAATTAATTCGAGTATAATTGATGAGGATGCGGATCGGGACGTGAGTTCTTACGACAATGCCGATTCTAATGGTGATGATGTTGATGTTGATGACGATGCTGCTGCTGCTGATGATGATGCTGATGATGATGATGATTATACTGCTGATGCTGACGATGATGATGATGATGCTGATGCTGATGATGATGACGATGCTGATGATGATGCTGCTGCTGCTGATGATGATGATGATGATGATGATGTCGAGGCTGCTGCCGATGATGGACGATGGTGTCGATGATGGCGACCATGACGATACTGACAGTGATCTGATGATGTTTTTGGATGATGATGATGAACATGATGCTTATGCTGATGAAAATGATGATGCCTATGATGACGACGATGCTGATGATAATGACTATGATTGTGCTTATGCTGATACTTATGATGATTGATGCTGCTGCTGATGATGATGATGATGATGATGGTGGTGATGAAGATGATGCAGATGCTGATACTGATGCTGATGATGTGCTGCTGCTGCTGATGATGCTGCTGATGATGCTGCTGCTGATGATGACGATGCATATGATTACGGTGGTGGTGGTGGCGATGTTGTCGATGATGCATCCGCAAGGGGGCAAAGGGCTAGGCGCAGGAGATACCGTCGACGACGAGGACGATTGCGATGATAGATGATGTTGACCATGGTGATCAGAATGATGATGCTGGCTATGTCGATGTTGCTGTTGCCGATGAAGATCACAGTGGTGAGTTGTGTTCGCCATACTAACGAGGATGAATGATTAGGTACGTATGCCAGTTAAGCTCATTTTATGTTCGGTGTCTGGCCATTCACATGACGATTGAGGATCTGGTGTCCCGATGTGCTCCGAGGAGGAGGAGGAAACGGAGCAGGATTATGATGATGATGGTTTTGCTCGAACGCAGTGTCGTCCAATACATTTCGGAAAGGCGCAGCTACCAGAGACGGATTGGGTGTCCTCTCAGCTTTCTAGCTTCCTGGGGCCCCTTATCGATCCCTGCCTCCTCCGTCCCTCCCCCTCCCTCCAAGCCTCCCTCCCTCCCGTAGATGGACAAGGAAGTGCAACCCTTGACTCCGCCGCCTCCCATTCCCTCCAGAGTCGAACTTTTGCCGAAGCATTCGGCATCACAGGCGTGAGAGGACAAAACGTAGAACCCAACCCCCAGGGGCTGCGCGAGGCCGAAACCAACTCTGAATCTGGGTGGGGGGGGGGGAGGGGGGGGATCACACACTCGGTCGAACACGAAATGGCTCTTTTTTAGCCCTCGTACCGTCCGTGGCGACTTCCGCGGGCCTTTTTCATCGGTATCTTCGCTGTCACCCTCGCCGTCGCGTCCCAAGGCTACCCATGCATCCACGCCTCCACTTTCCGTTTGCAAGTGTTCGGCTACCACGTCATCTATGCGTGTGGCCGGGTAGGGCGAAGGGGGGGGGACTCTGGGCTCGGAGGGTCTGACAACGCCACTTGGGCCGTGGAGACCGTGGAGACTGGAGAGTGGAAATTGTTGTAAAGAATCTGTGAGGACCGTGGAGACCGTGAAGAAAGACAGACATGGGGGGCGCTTCTTGCTTCTTACAGTCTCCGCGGCCCTCACATTGTTGACAACAGTCTCCACTCCAGTCCTCACGGTCTCCAAGGCCCACGGCCCCAGCCGCGTTTTCGGACTTTCCAGGGCCCCGTCACGCGTTTTGCCGCGCTCTGGTTGGGAGGGCAACGAAAGACACGCAGACCGAGAGCGAGACCGAGCCCGAGACCGACTGACAAACAGGCTGACAAGCAAAAAGGCATACATACAGAGACACCGCATTGTATGCCTTCGCGTCGTGTTGCCCTTAAACTGCTTCACACATTACAGGGCGCACCGTCTCTAGTCTGAGTCAGACGGGAAAGGATTGCTGTCGCACAGTTTGAGAAGTGGAGTATCATATTGACCAACGCAAGGGCGATGACGACGGCAGTGTTAGTAGTGATGGTGTCGATGATGATGACGATGATGCTGCTGATGCTGATGATAAATGTGATAATGATGATGCGGCTGCTGCGGCTGATGCTGATGCTGATGCTGCTGATGATGACGATGCTTTTGTTGACGATGATGTTGTTGACGACGAAAACGATAATGCTGAGGCTGCATATTATGGTGGTGATGAGGATGACGACGACGACGACGTTGAGTCTGACGATGATGATGATGATGATGATGATGATGATGATGATGATGATGATGATGACGAGGCGGATGATGCTGTTCATGATGGGTGTGACGATGACGGCGAGGATGCTACTGTTGATGACGATGCTGGTGGTGATGAAGATGATGCTGATGCTGAGGGTGAGGGTGATGATGCTGATGCTGATGAGGGTGATGACGACGACAGTGATGATGATGAGGAGGAAGAAGAGGCTTATGATGATGATGCTCATGTTGATGCTGATGCTGATGATGATGATGATGATGATGATGATGATGATGATGCTTATTATTGTTATTCGTATTATTATTGTTATTATTCCCTACCTAGGCTCTGCCTAGGAGTGTTCTTACTCTCTGGGCTTAAAGGGGCCGGGCAGTGGAAAGCGCCCCGGGCGGTTCCCCCAGTATCCGCCCCGCGGTTCCCCCAGTTACGTCCCCTTAGCTCAGCGTTGCTTATCTCATCTTAGCTTAGCTTATTTCATCTTAGCTTAGCTTAGCTTCATCTTAGCTCAGGTTTATATTAGCTTAGCTTACCTTCATCTTAGCTTTAGCATAGCATAGCAAAGCATAGCATAGCATAGCTTAGCATAGCATAGCATAGCATGGCACAACTTAGCATAGCACAGCGCAGCATGACATAGCATAGCTTGACATAGCATAGCATAGCATAGCATAGCATAGCATAGCATAGCGCAGCGCAGCATAGCATAGCATAGCATAGCATAGCGCAGCATAGCATGGTACATCATAGCATAGCTTAGCATAGCAACTAATGCTGCTTTCCTAGGGGATTCAACTTCTAGGTAGGGTCGCACTGGGGTAATTATTTTTATTACTATCATCAGTAGTCGGATTCTTATTCTTGTGGTGGTGACACTGATGGCGAGAGGATGAATACAGGAACGGATGAGGGACCGTCCCTCCCTGCGTCCCTCCTTTCTTCCTTTCCCTCCCGCCCTCCTCTCTCCTTCCTCCTTTTTTTTGTTTCTCTCTCTCTCTCTCTCTCCCTCCCTCCCTCTTCTAGCCTTTCCTCTCCCTCCCTGCTCCCCCCTCCTCAGAAGGGTGACGATGATGACGAGGATGAGGAATGAAGCATGATGATGATGATGACGATGATGATGGTGATGATGATGGTGATGGTGATGATGCTGCTGCTGCTGCTGATGATGATGATGATGATGATGATGATGATGGCGGTGGTGGTAGTGGTGAAGAGCAGGAGGAGGAAAAGAGGAGGAACATGAAGGTAACCACGATTGATTCTGAGGATGATGATGAGGTGGAGATGGAGGGAGGGGGTGCAAGAGAAATGATGATTAGGTGGAGGAGGAGGAGGGATATAAAGAAGATGAAGGAAGAAGACGATGGTGATGAGGAGGAGATGGGGGATGAGGATGAGGAGGATGATGATGATGATGATGATGATGATGATGATGATGATGATGATGATGAGGAGGAGGAGGAGGAGAACGAGGGAGATGAAGAAGATGAGGGAAGAGGACGATGATGATGATGAGGAGGAGGATGAGGAGGAGCTTGGGGAGGAAGAGGAGGAGGAGGAGGAGGAGGAGGAGGAGGAAGGAGGTGAAAGTAGAGGTAGGAGTCTGGGGGGGAGGGGATGAGGAAGATGAGTGATGATACCGATAGTTGATGATGATGATGCTGATGATGCTGATGCTGCTGATGATGATGGTGGTGATGCTGGTGGTGGTGATGCTGATGATGATGATGATGATGACGAGGATTATGATGATGACGACGATGATGAGGATGACGATGGTGATGATGATGATGATGATGATGATGATGATGATGAGGAGGAGGAGGAGGAGGAGGAGGATGAGTAGGAGAAGGACACCTTCGCCCCTCACCACCCCATGGCTCCAGGGCATTGGTTACGCCTGCAAGAAGGGCCTCAAGCCGGAGGCCCCTAATCAGGAGCTGGGCGCGGAGGAGGATAACGAGGAGGGGAGTAGGAGGAGGAAGGAATAGGAGCATGTGAAACCTGAGGAGGAGAAGAAGGGGAGGGAGAGGATGGAGGAGGAGGAGGAGGACCAGAGTGAACCCAAGATGCTTCAACGATGGTGCAACACACCGTCTCGTCCCAAGTTCACTACCCAGAGGTCCCGACGAGCCCTCCCTTTCGCTACATGGAGCGCCCCCTTGAAAGACCAGCACCCCATGGGCCTGCCATTCCGGCGCGAAAGGCACGATCATACAGCTCAAAGTGGTGTCCAGCGCGATCTCCGTCTTGAGAACGTACCGCCCCCATTCGTGTCCGTGTTCCAGAAGCTTACGCGTGTGGCCATGAGCTTCAAGGAAGTCTCAAGCGAGAGCCCTATCTTGAAAAGGAGCCGCTCTCCATATGGTCGGCTGAAACATATGTTGAAGTTTCTGTTCTTCATTTCAAACTCAATGCAGTCCCATGCGAAGCCCCAATTTTCGAATAAGAACTGTCACCCGTCCTTGTAACGGTGGCCATCTTTCAAGACGAATGCCCCAGTTTGAAATGGAACCGCACTCTATGGCTTTGACGGTTGCACGCTTTTCAACCGATTGTATGCGGCGCCACGGCGAGATGTGTATGTCGGAAACGACTTGTGCTCTATCCTGGTAATTGTGGCACGCTTTACGACGACTGTGCGGGGTGCTCAGGCGAGAGCTCTATTTTGAAAACGACCCCCCATCCATCCTTGTAGCCGTTGCAAGCTTTGAAGACGCGCCGCGCTAAGGCGAGATCCCCAACGTGAAAACCACCCCTCTATCAGCGTAACCGTTGCAAATGCCAAACTTCAGGATCATGAATGGCGAGTACAGAAGTCTCGGGCGAAATGCCTGGCCCGCCCTACCGACACGCCTCCGGGTGCGACAGGGATGAGGTATCTTATCTGTAACGATATTGGATGGAGCAGGAGGAGGATAATGGGGATGATGATGATGATGATGATGATGATGATGATGATGACGATGATGATGATGAAGATGATCATACTGATGATTATGATGATGATGATGCTGATGATGATGATGATGATGATGATGATGATGACGATGCTGATGCTGATGATGATGATGATGATGATGATGATGTGATCATGATGCTGATGCTGATGCTGATGCTGATGATGATTCTGATGATGGTGGTGGTGGTGATGATGCTGCTGATGATGATGATTATGATGATGAGCATGATGAGGATGAGGAGGAGGAGGACGATGAGGAGGAGAAAGGAGGAGGAGGAGGAGGAGAAGGACGAAGAGGCGGAGAGAGGAGAGGCGAGGAGAAGGGAGGGGCGAGGGAGCAGGATGAGAAGGCGGAGACGGAGGTGGAGGCGGAGGCGGATAATGAGGAGGCGGAAGAAGAGGATCATGAGGATGAGGATGAGGATGAGGCGGTGGGGGCAGTAGAGGAGGAGGAGGAGGAGGAGGAGGAGAAATCGGAGTCAAGCTAGCCAGGTCGAAAGAGCCAGCGAGACCCACCCGCCCTCCCACAACATAATAATCGATTGTGGCACAATTTGATTCTATGGGCTGAAGCCACATCCGCCGACCCCTTGTTTTTGTTGTTGTTGTTGTTGTTGTTGTTGTTGTTGTTGTTGTAGTTGTAGTTGTTGTTGAACATTATTAATTCTAAAGAATAATTATTGTTGGGACCCCTGGTGCACGGCCCCCCTGCGCCGCCTAGGCCGCAGCTACATTTTCATCATTTTCGTGAGGAAGCCTCAGGTAATTCGATGTGATCAAGATCCGGTTGTTTTGTTCCCCCCCGCTTTCCCTTGCAAAAAACACTATAAAATGACATTTCTTGTTCTAATATAATCAAATTTCAAGAATCCCTTGCAAAAAATAAGGTAAAGTGGACATTCGCGCGCGCAAGACGAAATCCTTCCAAAAGCTTAGTGTTCGGAGCGATTTTAACATAAAAACATCAAAAAACCAATGGTTTTTCAACAAAAAAATGTCAAAATCTCATCCCGCGCGCTCTTGCGGATTCGTAGGAAACCCAACACTTTTTAAACATTTCTGTCAAACGGGCTTTTGCGAGCAACTTTTTCGAACTTCTGCGACAACGGTTGCGCACCTGCCAGGGCCATCATCCCTGTCAAATAATACCATGCGGGACACATTCGTTTTTTCTTCGCGCGCGCACGCCGAAATCTCCAAATACGACGTAGGCTTAACAACTTCTGTGGGTGTGTACTCCACGCCAGTGTAGTAGCCACGGTCGTCCGCAGGCCACGAAGTGAAGTGTCCGAACGTCATAGGGCGGGAAGCTGGGTGTGGGTGGTGGCGAAGAGTCGTGTGGATATTTGGTAGAGCTTGCACTGCCCCCCCACAAAGTGGGGGTATTGGCTGGCGTCGCATGAAAACCCTGGCACTGGTGAGAACACTGAGCGTTCGGGTAAAGTGATTGTTGTTGTTGTTGTTGTTGTTGTTGTTGTTGTTGTTGTTGTTGTTGTTGTTGTTGTCGTTGTTGTTGTTGTTGTTGTTGTTGCTGGCTGTTGTGTGTGTGTGTGTGTGTGTGTGTGTGTGTGTGTGGGGTGTGGTGGGGGGGGCAGGGGCTCTTGGAAGCAGTTCTGGAAACGCCTGGGGCTCGTTTTGGGGGCCGGTCGGCGCGTCTTCGGGCCTTCTTGGGGCCTCTAGAGAGCTTCTCGGGGCCTCTGAAGAGCTTCTCGGGGCCTCTGAAGAGCTTCTTGGGGCCTCTGAGGAGCTTCTTGGGGCCACGGATGGTGCAAGACGCGAAAGACGGCCTCCAGACGGCCCAAGAGGCCCCAAGATACCCAAGAGGCCTCCAAGAGGTTTCCCCAGAGAGCTCGAAGAGACCAACAAACATTTCTTTTCCATAGGTTTTTGAACAGGTTTGGCGGTTCCGCTTGTCACGGAGGAGATCGAGTAGACGGATCAGGCGTTGCATCCGTCCTCATATCATTTTCGCCGTTTCTGCGCTTGAGCTTTTCGGGATGCAATCCCGAGGAGGGAGGCAGGAGGTTGTGGTTGAAGATGGTTTCCGCGGCCGGCTTTACAATATTTTGAACACTTCGCAAGGCAGTGGGCATCCGAGCATAGCGGTGGTCGTTCGCGCCACGAGGTGGTCCACGTGTTGCTCGGCGGGGACTGTCCCGCCGTTGGTGGCTACCAGTCTGCGTCCTCCAGCCCCACGACAGGGACTCCGAATTCTTCGCGCGCCAGTCTGCATCTCAGAGGACTGGTGGTCGTTGGCGCCACGATGTGGTCGACGCAATGGCCGGTCGGAGGCTGTGTGTCCGTCGGCGCCCAGCCCCCTTGCCGCACCCGGGCATGCTTTTTATCTTGATCGCTGCGCACGGCAGTGGGCATCTTAGAACAATGGTGGCCGTTGGCGCCACGACGTGGTCCACGCGTGGCCGTGCGGGGGCCGTCCCGCCGTTGGCGACCGTCATCGTGCGTGCTCCTGCCCAAAAGGATTTCTGACGCCCGCCTCTCTTCAGCGTAACAAAAAAGGGCCCTCGGACGAGCCGACGGGGCCCCCAAACGGCGCCCGAGATCCCGAAGACGAGCCCAAGAGGTGCCGGGGCGGCCGCCGAGAGGAGCCCTCGCCCGCGTGAACCTCCTCGGCGGGGCCCTGGGGGCGCTTCATGTGATCTCGGTTTCTGAGCGGTCACAGGTCGCTCCAATATGGCCTCAGAGGCCCCCGAGACGGCCTAGGACACGCCAGGTAGTTCGCAAGTGGGCTGGAAGTCAGCCCAAGGGGCCCCCGAGACGGTTCAGCACTGCTCCACGCGGATCTTCACGAAGGCACGAATAAGCAAAAATCGTCAACATCCAATGGGACAGCACGTATTTTTCAAACATGGGTTTGGGTTTCGTTCCAGCGTCCAAAAAGGCCCAAGCAAGCCAGATCGCCCCAAACCGCCCTAACTGGCGCCCGAGAGGGCCCCCAGATGACCCAAAAGGCGCCCAAGAGGGCCCCAGGACGACCCAACAGGGTCCCCAAAGGGCATCAGAGACCCCAAGGACGAGTCCAAGAGGCGTTCTGGCGTTCTATGCGTCTCTGAGAGAGACCCGCGCCCACGTCGCCTTTCACGGCGGGGTCCTGGGAGCACTTCAAATGTTTCCCAAACGGCGCTAGGTCGCTCCAGTGTGGCCTCAGTGGCCTCTGGGTCGGCCCCAAAGCGCCCCAAGACAGTTCGCTAACCTTTCTGCTCCTAGAGGTCCCTTAGAGGGTCCCGAGACGACCCCCCAGGCGTTTCTCACGTCGCATTCTGACCTGGGTTGCGGGCCGAGCTGATGTTCAATACGCAAGGTTGAGTTGAGAATTTGGAGGCCGTGTGCGAGCTCCCGGACCGCGAGCTGGGTTGAGGATCGGAGGCCATTCGGATTGCTGATGGGGTCTCGTGCGAGGCCTCTCGGGGGCGCACACCCCTCACACGTTTCGTGGCCCCATGGGCAGCTCCACCGAAAGCCCCAGTGCCACCGTCCACTTGCGTCCCCTACACCAAATTCGGCACACACACACACACCACACGTTCCGTGACCCCGTAGGGAGCTCCATCGAAGGCCTCAGTGCCACCGCCTGCATGCGTCCCCCACCGATTTCAGCACCCCCTCTCACGTTCCGTGGCCCCATACGGAGCTCCACCGAAGGCCCCATTGCCACCGTCCACATGCGTCCGCCGCACCCATTTCGGCACAGCCCTCACAGAGTTCGTGGCCACATATGGGGCGCCACCGAAGAAGATATTCACATTTGCGGTACTCACAACTGCATGTGGTTGGGTCTTTCGCGAGGCTAATTTTGGAGTTCTCCTGGAGTTCCCTGGGGGCCCCAAAGGGCCTCTTGGTGGCTTCTTGGGGCAACTTGGGGGCGTCTTGGCGCGGAAGGGTCGAAATGTCTGGTCGGATTCTGCCTCGAGGCCGTTTCCGGGGGCCGCCAGGGTCCGGTCTCCCGACCCTCCTGTCGGGGCTCGCCCGCTCGACCCGCCTGTGTTGTCCCGTCGGGGTTCACCCAAGAGCCTGTACGACAGAGTCGCCCCCCCCGCCGGACGGGTGCACTCGTAGACTTTGAGTGCGGGTGCAGAGGACGGGGAGAATGCACGAGGGCCAGAGCGGCTTGCTAGATCACAGGTTCGCAAGACGACTGTTGTTCTTGGTAATGTTATGGTGGTAATCGTATTCTACTATAGAGGAGGAGGGCACCATCATCTCGTCGCCATCGCCGCCACATTACCTATCGCCAGGACAGCTTCTTCATCATGAAGGTGGACGACCAGTACTCTCTGTACGGCGTGTTCGACGGCCACGGCAGCAAAGGCCCGAGCTCCCCCGACTCGAGGGGAGAGGCTGTCTCTGCGGCGTCGGCGAGGCCTAGGGCGAGCCTTCTCGCGAGTCTCGAGCAAGAGACGACATCAACAGAAACTTTTCGGAGGCCCGCTACTGCAAGTTCATAAGTTTTCGGAGGTCCGTGCGGATTTCTTGGATCGGCGCTGCTGGCGCGGGAAGCGCTCCAGGGACGGCGCTGGAGAAATCCGCGCAGACCTCAGAAAGTCTACGTTCATGCTGTTTCTGTTCCTCTGAAGCTGCGCGCTCATCTCCGCAGGGTCTCCGCGGCTGGGCCTCCCTCCTCCTGGCAGCGCGGCCGCCCTCTTCTACTCCACCATCGTTCGCGCTCTCTGGCCCGGCGCGGCCCGCTGGCATACAGACGCGCTCGCGTCCGCCAGTGCTGCAGGCAAAAAGCTTTAAGTCGGGCCTGTCCCTCTACAGGGGAATCTTCAAAAATAGTTCCAAATTAGTCTGGGGACGATTTTTGTGACTATTGCGCGGGCCTTACGGCCTGTGCCGCCGACCCTGGAGGCATCGGCTCTCGACGGCAAAGGGGGGGAGAGGGGGGGGAGGAGGAAGAGGAGGAGGAGGAGGAGAAGGAGGAGGAGAAGGGGGGAGGAGGAGCAAGAGGAGGAGGAAGAGGAGGAGGAAGGGAAGGGGCTTCCCTTTGACTCAGAGGCGACGTTGTTCCGTTTCGGTTTGTACCGACACGCTTCAGGAAAAGGTTGTAGGACAGGAGAGAAAGCGACGGGCGCAGTGGAGGAGAAGGCTGTAGGGAAGGGAGAGAAGCGACGCCGGGAGGGCGGCGTATCTGACCCAGGACCCCCCCCGCTACCCCCCCGGGACCCCCCCCTGGGACCCCCCCCCCTGGCGGGGAAGGGAACAGAAAGGGAAGGGGCTTCCCTTTGACTCAGAGGCGACGTTGTTCCGTTTCGGTTTGTACCGACACGCTTCAGGAAAAGGTTTTAGGACAGGAGAGAAAGCGACGGGCGCAGTGGAGCAGAAGGCTGTAGGGAAGGGAGAGAAGCGACGCCGGGAGGGCGGCGTATCTGACCCAGGACCCCCCCCGGGACCCCCCCGGGACACCCCCCCCTGGCGGGGAAGGGAAGAAAGGGAAGAGGCTTCCCTTTGACTCAGAGGCGACGTTGTTCCGTTTCGGTTTGTACCGACACGCTTCAGGAAAAGGTTGTAGGACAGGAGAGAAAGCGACGGGCGCAGTGGAGGAGAAGGCTGTAGGGAAGGGAGAGAAGCGACGCCAGGAGGGCGGCGTATCTGACCCAGGACCCCCCCCGCTACCCCCCCGGGACCTCCCCCGGGACCCCCCCCCCCCTGGCGGGGAAGGGAAGAAAGGGAAGGGACTTCCCTTTGACTCAGAGGCGACGTTGTTCCGTTTCGGTTTGTACCGACACGCTTCAGGAAAAGGTTTTAGGACAGGAGAGAAAGCGACGGGCGCAGTGGAGGAGAAGGCTGTAGGGAAGGGACAGCAGCGACGACGCTGCAAGGAAACGTGAAAAAGGAACGACGAGGAGGATGGGGCAAACAACAAAGCCTCTTCCACACGCCGACAGGGTCGGCGGATTTTTGAATATGTTTGGGGGTACTTTTTGATATTTTTCCGCCCAAAAAATCCCCCTGCAGAGGGAGACGCCCGACTTAAAAAAAGGTCCTCTGAAGCCGGCGCCAGCCCCACTGCTCAGGAGACCATTACCAGTTTGAAACATATCTCAATCCTCATGCTTGATATCATCTTACCTCGATGCCGATCTTGAGGATTCCCTCAGTTTCTGAGGGCCTGTCCCTATGATTGTCCTCGCTTTTCGCTCGCCCATCTTAGGGATAGGGATACGTTCGAGGCTGGTTAGACCAGGGCGCAGGCACGGCCCCTGGAGGTCCCCGCGGAGGTCTCCTTGGGGCCTTCCCCGGAGGCTGGCCCCGCGATCGATCTCCCCGGAGGCCGGCGTGGAGGCCCCCGCGGGCACGGAGGGGCCTCCGCGGGGTTGGAGGAGGGGCTCTCGGTGCCTCCAAGAGCGTTGGCTGAGCCTGCCTCTCTGGGAGCCCGGGGCGCGCGCGGCGAGGCGTCGCATCGACGAGCCCGTGCGACCTCCCCCCTTTCCGTCCTCGTCCTCTTCGTCCTCGTCGTCGTCCCATCCTCCCCTCGTCGTTGTCGTCGTCGTCGTCGTCGTCGTCGTCGTCGTCGTCGTCGTCGGCAGGTGTCGTGCAAAACTCGCGGGGCATGGGTGCCAGCAGCCCGACGTATCCCCGTCCTCGCGCCACCGGTTGCCGTGCCACCGAGGCCCTCCCGTGCTCCTCTTCCCCCCTCGGGGACGACATCCGACCCCTTGAGTCAGTTTTTCCATCCCCTGGCGATCACGGGCGTGACTGGGGGGGGTGGGGGGAGTAGGGGATGAGGCCAGTATGGTTAGGAATGGCCACTTCCCACACGGCGCCGGCGCGAATCATGACGCTACCAGGGGGTGGGGGCGATGGGGCGGGGCAGGTCCTGGGCGTCATCGTGAATCATTATTCCGACGGAAGCAGTTATTCTTGGTGCGCAGGATGCCAGCATGCGACCTGTGCGGCCGGTGAGACATGCTGTGCCCGTGGGGCTTTTGAGACCTGCGCACTGCAAGGCCGGTGGGACTTTGGCTGCCTGTGGGACCTGTGCGACCTGCGGGTTCTACGCGACCTGTAGGGCCTGTGGGACCTGTGAGACCTGTGGGGCCTGGGGTACCCTCGGGCCCTGTGGGATGGCAGGATGCAAAGGCTGCCGGACCATCGGGGGGATGCCTAGTGAAGTATGGGTTCCTGACAGCGCGCGCCGTCGTCGTGCGTCGTGTGCAACGCGAATGAATGGCGAATGCCATGTCTGCCGTGGCGCGCTCCACTTTCGCCCGCGCCCCCCGTCCATATTTCGGCCGGTCAATGTTTCCCAGCGGAGGGGGGGCGAGGCCGACGGGACTTTCGAGAGCGACGTCGTGCTGCGAACGGCGGCGCGAGCCGGTCTGAGGCGATGCTTTGCCCCCGCCCATGTTCTGCATAATATGTGATTTCAGGGCTGCCCCTACCCGTGTTCGGTGCGGTGCCCTTCGCTTCGCCCTGCTCTGTCTCCCCCCCTCTGCTTTCTTCCATGCGCGCCGTTGCGTGTCCTTGCTGGGACCTGCTGCGAAGTTGCGACGTCGCTTGTCGCCGCTCTCTGTCATTGCCCCTGCTCCGCGATGTGACCGCCAGAGTGGTGGGCGTATTCTTCGCGCTCTACAAGTGCCTCGTGGCCTGTTCCGCGGCGCCGTTGGCGGGCTTTGCCGTATTTGTGTCTCGTCGCCTTTGGCGGCGAGGACTTTTTTGCCGCCCTGCTGGCCTGTGCCTCGGGGGAAGTCTTCTGTGTGCTCGGCCGTGTTTTGCCTTGCCTACCCCGCTCATGTTTCTGTCCTTGTCATTGGCTGCTTGCGCTCCACTGGCGTGTTGTAGCGCATTTTTTTTCCGTCGGTCCTCTGGGCCTGACGGCTTCCGCCCCGCTGCCTGCGCCCCAACATTGTCTGTGGGTCGGCTTGGCCGAGGCCTGCTTTTCGTTCTTGGGGTTGGTCGCTTCAGCCTCGTGCTGCGCCATGCTGCCTTTCTTTTGGCCAACTGCTATGCTTTCTTGCCTCCTTAGGCGGGGGGCTGTATGGCCGCCTGGTGGGGTGCACCTCAGGGGTATCTCGTGGTATTCGGGCGGGCGCTGCCTTGCCTGCGCCGCCCATGTGTTGCCCGATGCGCTGGTTCTTGCGCCCCTCTCGGGTGCGCGTGGCAGTTCCCGCGTCGCGCCGCTCGTGGTCGGCGCCATTTTGCGTCTGTGAGCGTGTCTGGCGGCGGCCTTGCCGCCTTGCTGCCTGCGCCTTGACGCGGGGCGCGGGCCGGCGCGGCCGCGGCCTTTCTTTAAGGTTTGCATCCTGGTGTCGCTCCTGGGGCTGCCGTTCGCTGCCCCTGCTGGGCTTTCAGCTGTATGTCAGTGCGCCCTGCCGGCAGCTTTCCTCCGCGGTGGTTCGTTGTTCGTCGGTCCCCTCCCCTTTTGGGTCGTGTGGGTCGCTCGGTCCTCGCCGCCGTCCGTCGGTCGCGGGTCGGCCGTGCCGCGGGGTCTTCTGCCGTCGTCTCTCCGGGCCCCTCCTTTGCTTTTGCTCTTGTTGCGTTTCACCCTCTCCATTCTCCTCCTTCCGGGTCGCCCCCGCCGCGGGTGTCTGTCCTCTTCTGTTTGAGTGTTGGCGTGTCCGTTGGCGGGTTCGCTGTGCTCGTCTCGTCTTTTGCTCTGCCGCCCGTTGTTCGGAGTGGTGCGGTCTGTGCGGTGATGCGTGCAGTCTTTTTTGGGCCAGTATGGTTGCGCCATTTTGCCTGGCATTGCTTTCGCCTGCCTCGCCAGTAGCCCTTCGCGGCTGTGGTTGCGGTTGGGGGCAGCTGTTGTGTCGCTGGCGTCTGCGTTGCACGCTCGGCCATGCTCATGCCCTGTCCACCATCCATGTGTGCCGTCGCGTTTCGCGGCTGCTGATCGCGGTTCCCCGCGTTCGGCTTTGTTTTTGCTTGACCAAGGCCAAGCTTGCTTCGGCCACGTTTTCTCTTTATCGCGCCGACCCCGTTCACCCTGTTGCGCGCTCAATTCGGTACTTGCTCGCTGCCAGGTCGGTGGCGCTGCTTGTCGCGTTGTTTCCCTGCGCGCGTGCGCCGCCGCTGCGTCGGCTGGTCTGGCAGCCTCGTATTCTTTCGTCGTTGCCTCTTCGAGGCTCCAATGAGCAACAGACTGTTGCTTGCACGTCAAACTGCCCGCGTCGAGCTAATGTTCCTCGGGTGTTTTGGCTCTTGCACCTTGGCATTCCACGCCTTGGCATTCCAGCGCCTCCCGTTTTTCGCAGCCAGTCTGCATGGCCGTGTCTGGACTCTTCCATCATGTCGCGTTCGACTAAGTTCGCCCGAAATCGGCACGTCCCTGCGGGCCGCGCTTGATGTGCCTCTGCGCAACCGGCTCA